TTGCATTTAAAATGCAAGTACAAAATAAAAAATACCTATGTTTATCTTGCATTTAAATACTTTTTTGATAAAAGCTTTTTGAATTTTATTTAAAATACTTTTCCAAACGTATTTTTTATTTGTAAAATGCAAAATACATTTTTGCCGTCAAAACTTTTGCCAGTATCACCGATCAAGCATGATATAAAATGAAGAATGAAAGTTGCTCACTTTTGCCATTGAAGGTATAAGAAGCTTAGAGAAGGGACAAAAAGACATTCCATGAATGTTTTCTAATTCTTTAACTGAAGAGAGCCCCCTAAAATACGGGATCGATATTATTTTCCGGGTTCAACGTCATGGTCCGTGGAATTTTTAAGTTTCAAATTGATATGAGCACCCCAAATTACCACCTATCGTACTTTTAACAAGGAACCACGAAATTCTGTAAATTACGAGAAAACAGCCCGCAAAACAATATCGAATTGATATAAGCCAGCTGTGAAACTGAAAACTACAAGATATTGTGGTGTGCTAATAAATGTATACAATTCAAAATTTTTAGAAAATGATTCGAAACAATTTACTTATTAGATGAACCTAAAGCTAAAGAAACTATGGATTCCACTTCTTTCTTTTACTACAATGTGTAAAACATCAGAAATAAAATGGGGTTGTAAATATTTTGATATAAAATGATTAATAGTGATCTTACACCAATAAAATTATTTGCAACCCTATTTTGGCTCTGATCTTTCACGCTAAGCAAACTATTTTGGCATCACGGTCTTTTTTCCAATCAAAACGGTGACAAAGGCAAATAAGGAAGCACATAGAAGAATATTGTTTGTTGTGAGAAAATAAATTTTAATTGAAAGAATTCTTTCTGGTATTCTCACTTTACACGCCAAATTAATTGCGAGCAAACTATTTTATGTAAATGATAACGATTGTTGTTTTAAATATTTAATAGTCAACACTTAACTTACACGTAGAATTAAAATAAACTAAATGAATAAAATTAAATGTAATAGTATAAAAGTAGGAAAACTTTTTGG